GTAGCCACAATTATTAATATAATTGTAAGTAGCTACATAATTGTAATACTCTAACATATAAATTAGTAAGTAACTACTTACTACCTATACTATCCTTTAAACATTTCAATCATAATTTTAATAATACAGAGTTGAATTATTGGGGTTCCTTCGATGTATGAATTGATATAATTATTGTTATTTATTTTCTGTACTTGTAAGATACATAAACATTAGGTACCTACCTACCAAAATTGTAACTAGAGTGGGCGTCATAAATAAAAATCCCAAGCCTAAAAATATTGACCAAGCTGATGACCTGCCCAAACAAAATCCTGTTAAGTTGGTAAGAAAAAAAGATGTTATTAAATTAACTAGAATTTTTAAAATCCCGTCTGTTGCTGAAGAAATGTACAAATACATTTTTCAAAACGTAATATTAGAAATGATAACAACGGAATTTATAAAGAAGACCATAATTAAAGAATTATTAATAAAATACATTTTAGCAACGCGGTAAAACTTAAAAATAAAAACAATATTAATAACCTTTAGAGATCAATATTTTTGTTTTGGAAAATATTTATTTTGGATTAAATTTTTTATAATTTTTCAAAAAAGAACAAAATATGTAATGACATTTTTCTTAACATTTCCTTAAAATCAATATACACTTAGACAATATATACAACAATATACACAATAGACACTTCCCTCAGGGGGTAGTATCCCTCATTTATGTTTATGGGTAAAAATGAATTATTTAAAATTGTTAAAATGATAATATATATATATATGATAAACGATTGATAAAAAAAAATACTGAAATAGTTATTAATAAAATATTATCAAATCAAATGGTTGGTCTGGAATTGTCACGTCATAAAATGTATTCTACTTGTGGTCTTTGGTTAGTATTCTACGCAAGAAGCCTTGTCACGCAAACTAAAAACTAAATGGTTCATGGAAACTGTGCGTATTTTAACCCAGTTTTCGATAACAACGTAATACCACCGACAAAACAATCCGGTGTTTGGACAAACAAGCAGATTACCAGTGAGTAGTGGTGTCTATGGGGTTCAACAGAAAACTCAAGCGAACATGCGAGGTTATGGGATTTGGTCAAATTTCATTTGAACGCTTTACTGGGTAGAACGTTTGAAAGTTCGGGTACGTGACTTCGGTAGATGAGACCTGTTGTGACAAACGTGATGGGAATGCACGGTCATCAAAATTAATCTGAACGAAAAATAAAAATAATGGGGATGACAAACATAATAATAAAACTTACTAAAAATTATTTTCTTACAAATTTCGAGTTCACTTTGTTGAATAGGCTTGAAGAGTTGTTGCTTTTATCGCAAGTGAGTATGTAGTACAGCTTTTGTACCTACTCCTTATACCTCTAACAGTGTCTATAAGATGAAATCACCTAGAGAGTACTTTTGGATTTTTGTACATAGATTGTCAGTCAGCAATTTTCAAACTGAGTAAAACAAAAGAACATTCGAGTTGCTTAAGTGTAGTAAGGTTCAACAACTCGGCATTCTTGTAAACTATAGGACAGGTACCTAATTTTTCTTAGACTGATAAAAAACTGAAATAATTATAAAGAAATATTTTTGAAATACGTATATAAACTTGTATAATTTTTTGAATGTACGTTTGGAATATTTCTCCAAAAACTTAAAATGGTATTATTTTTAAAATTCTATTTGAGAACAATTGGTATACAATAACCAATGTTTATTTTAACTGATTTAATTATTCATATTTTTGTAATACTAAACAATTCCCAAAAATTGTATAACTTTTACTATTCCGATATTACAAATATAAAAATAATTTGTTCAGTGTAATATAATATTTTAGAAAATATAGAATTGATGAAAAAAAAATGCAACACAAATTAGACGGTTACTTATTATATCTAATGTCCTATATGCCCTTTTGTAGTCTAAGTGACTAAGTTTATTAAGATCAGAATAAAAAATAATTATTAATCAATTACAAATCAATGATACTTTAAATATAGAAAAAATTTAGTGACACAAACAAAAATGAATACATTAAAATTTGTCATCAGAATCAAATAAAAATAAAATTATAAAACAGAGACGTGGAGATTAATTACATTTAATACATCCATAAGGTTAAAGCGAAGAACAGTTTAAATAAGTTTCAATGAAGAGTTTCAGAACTTTTTTGATTCATCAAATTTGTAATAAATATGATATTTTATTCTTTCTACGTTAAACTGCTAAACCTAAGATGTAAGTTCATGCACTTAAATATTTTACAAATTTGAATTTACTTTTTAGTTAATTTTATTATTTCATAGTATTAAGCTACATTTCAATATGAATTTTAACACAAACAATTTAACAAAACCAATGCCAAGTTTATATACGTTATAAAAATATAATTTAGGTTTTAGATTAAAATGTATAATAAAATAATTTTAATCGTTTCATGTATAATTGTTCACATTGAATAAAAATTCTAAATCGAAGGAATTTTATTTTTCTGTAAATTTTTTTTTTGTTTAGGTTTTCAAATGATATTTTTAAACATAAATAAAAAAATATATATATTATATATATTATTATTACTATTTATTTTTTCCAATTTAGAATATTAAACACTAACAGATTTAAAGAGTAAAAATAAAAAATGATAGTTTGAATACGTATTTTCTAATTAATAATTTATTTAGTGCATATTTTATTAAAAAACGTGATTTACATAAATAAATTTAAGTTAAGCATTTTTAACTATATCATTCCAGTTAACAGCTAAGTTATTTAATCTCTCTTTATAGAACACACTGTCAAAAAAAAAAAGATAACAAATGTAATATTTACATTTAAAATATTATGCTAGAACGATATTCAGTTATTAAATTATAGCTTGGGAGTAAGCTATCAACATACAAAACTACAAAAATTAAAATTTTTTAAATATTAATATATTATTTCGATGTTATTTAAGATAAGTTAAACGGACAAAACAATCAATATTATTGCCGAAAGGTTTAAGTAAGGGATGTTAGATAATAGATTATGTTAACCCATAATCTATTAAAATGAGTACAATTTTGAGTTTAAAAAATGCAAGATCGCTTAGTAGATGGTTAAAACTCAAATGAATATGAAATAGAGACTATTTCACAATATAAAATCTTAAGAGAACTTTTTTTGGTAAATAGATTTAGCTGGTATATGGAAATTATGTCACAATAAAAATGTCATTAAGAATCAATCACGAATTTCATTAAATATAAATTTCCATTATTTAAATTGATTTGTAAACGATATTCAAAATAGGTACGTCATCAGTATAATAAGTATATAACATATGCTTGATACATTCAAAATAAATCTTCGTTAAACTAACTACTTATCTCTTGAATACTATTTTTGACAAATGAAGCAATTTTTGCATATTGTTGAAAATATCATCTTTTTTACTTATTTTTGTACAAATAAGATTTTAAACCATACTAAAAACACAAATATTTTTTTTATTTCATTATAAACTACAATAGTAAAAATATATTTGTGGTTTTTTTTTAGATAATTATGTATGAATTAATGGGTTGTTTAATAATTGTAATTAATTGTTAGATTATGGTATACAAATTAAACAGTTGAGGCTATTGTTCTTGTTTTCACAAATAGGTTCTCTGTATTATAGTCGTATAATATAATATAATTATTATTATATGTGTCTTATTTATTATATGTATAAAATATGATTTTGAAGAAAAAAATTAAATCATGATGTTTATATGTTGTATAGACAATACCATTAATAAAAACAATTTTAATATCCTGGGTAGTCTTTCTACTGTACAGTAGATATCGATTGTCCCTCATCAATGAGTAGTTGTTCTAAATTAGAATTCTATGATTCATACGAAATACGATTCTGAGTACACGAAGATGGTGTCTCAACATTTATTTCCAAGGATATTTCATAATTTATTTATAGTATTATAAATTACTTTTTTATTTTTCTATTAATAATTATGCAGGTTAAACTAATTTCTTACAAAAATCTTGCATACATTATACAGTTAATTAGTTTTTTTAAAGATCAAGATTTCAACATCGTGGGTTTTTAGCCAGATATTATGTTTAATTATTCTAATATAATATAATGCAATTCTTAGTTTTTACTTATAAGTTTAATAGTATTGATAACAACTTACATTATGCAAAGGATCGTGGTATAAATAGTTGAGAAAGTCTAAATATTTTATTATATATAAATTAAATATGTATAAATATGTGAATACAAATAATACAACATGTAGGCAATGGCAAAAAGTTTCAATTTGTTTTTTAATTACAACTGAACAAATAATAAAATCATTATTTCTTGTCTAAATACCCAATTTTGTCAAAGACGTTATACTCCCACAGGCGTTATCTCTGTTTTACTAACATATTAACGTATTCAATTTTACTTTCAGGATAATTATTTTACTCCGTGATTCTTAACATTGCAGTGAATTAACTTATTACAAGACATAAAGGCAAGACTAACCATGAAGCAGAGTCCGTGTGAGGCATTAGGTGAAAATATGTTTAATGATGATATTAACCGTCGGGATGTTTGGCTAAGCATTGCTATCAATGTAAGACTTAATATTAAATTAAATTTATACTTAATGTATTTAATTGATTTAAAAATCATTATCTCAAACTTGGGGAAACACCAAACACAATTACTAGTCATAAATACATCTTTAAAGACACAAAGTATTATATGATCAAAACGTTCAAAGTTGTTATCATTTTATTAATTGATTTTGTAACTAATATAACAATATTGTTAATAAATTAATTGCTTTAGTGGCTGAAACGGAATATTCCTTTTTTTACAGTACATTATCGTCGATTTTAAATGACAATAATAGTTTTAAGTAATGACATTGGGTAACAAACAAATAATAATAATATCCATATACTTTGAACTACTATAGTGTTAATGGTTAGTAAATTCGTACAACTCACCTGTCCTATGAATAATACTCAGTGCTTTTATGATAAAATCGAATATGCCTGTCGACTCCATATTGGCATGGTTCAATTGATATGTCAACGAACCATAGACGGTCAGGCCACTGTCGCAAGGCTTAACATGCTCGCACAAGCGTTTCCTCTCGTCACCGGAAACCTGAAACACATCACGAAATTCAGGTAAACGTGATACAGCACCTTTTATATAACTATGATAAACACGTTCAATTTGATTTACCGTACACATATTATTTAAAATAATAATATTCCGACATAGTGTAATATCGTTTAAGACTTTTTGAATTATTAAAATGTTTACTCTAATGAACTTTATTCTTTAGATGTATCAATATGTATGTACTATACGAATTAATGTACTTAAAAACCAATATATAAAGAATACATTATTATGACTATATTATGACGAAAAAATATTAACTCATTGTATAAAATAATTAAAAGTAATAGCAAATGTTGTATAGTATCATTTATTTTCGAATCATAAATCAAAAATAAATCAAAATTAGAATATTTTTCTTGAAAACATTATATCTACTCGTATTATCAAAATATTATATATTTTTTTTATATTGAACCAATAGCACCAATCTTGTAAAATTGAATCATAATTATTTATATTTGGATGCCAAGGAGATTATCATATACGATAAATTTTTTCCTTTTGGTTCAAATATCTATAGACTCTATTGACTCTTATAACATCAGGTGTGATTTAATTGAGATAATGTTTGTCTATGATATTTTAAATAATAATATAAACTGCCCAGCTATATTAAATTTAATTGGATTTAGAATCCCTAGTAGGTTTACACGTAATTGTAAGTTGTTCCATACACCTAATTTTAATAGTATTAGTGGAAAAATTCGTTATTTTCAAGAGCCATTATTAACACCAATAGAATCTTCACAGTCTTGGGTTTTTTCGTTTTGAATCATCAAATATTTAAATCTAAAACTTTGTTATTTTTAAATCATAGTACCTAAATATTTATTTTATAGCTATGTTTTGTATACTAAAATTTTGTCTTTATATTTCTTACTATTTTTACTTTTATTATTATCACTTGTCTATTGTTTTCATATTGTGCCAATCATATATAATGTTTTTCTTTCTTTGTTAAAGGTCTTTGGCCCGTTAATTTTATATAAATAAATAAATAAATAAATAAATAAATAAATAAATAAATAAATTCCATATTATAATTTGAAATTGTGACTAAAGTATTATACAAATTATTTCTTGCCATTCTGGTATGATATTATATAAATATAATATAATTAGGTATTTATATTTGGGATATATTAGAATATGTGTGCATTTTAGAAATTAAAAAAGTTGAAAGCATAAAACCAATTAACTAAGTTAATAAAATAATATAACATATTATATAGGTAGAATACCATAGGGATTTAGCAAAAAGGGACATTTCGGATATTCCTGACTTGTGCATGTGAATTGTGGGTTTCATAATGGTGTGTATTAACTAATTTTATTCAGATGTCGCAAATTGTTTTTTTAAAACGTTTATACTATACACAATATCTTCTACTCTCATAACTTTAATTTGAAGCTTTGAAAAAGGCACCTAAATTACTACAGCACCATTAAGTACAAATTATTTTTCTTAGTTATTATTCATTTGATATGTACTTTTGTGTCAATGATGTCAGTGAACCAGAATTTAATACAGGGTTTAGTTTTTTTTTAATGTTTAAATTCTAGAATAGTAATTTTCAAAATGATAATAGAAAGATATACAATTGCGGCAGTTTTTGAAATAAGCCTTAGAGAAACTGTTAAATTGATAATGACTAGGTATAATAAGACTGAATGTGACATATTATTTACAATGATTAATAATTTACTCAGCAGTCAAAAGTCATAGAAACTAAGTTTCTAAAAGACATTTAAGGTTAATGACATTTTACGGTGACATTAAACGACCGTTTAAAAAACATTATTTCTTTAATAAAAAAAACCTCTATCCGGAAAAAAAAATTAATTAATTTCATGATAATAATTGTAATGTTCAGAATGAAAGTATGTTATTTAATATACTTATACCTTAAATTCTACGTAATTAATCGTTTTAGAAACTTTAAGGAAACATAATATAATAGATAAAATACATCGTCAACCATTATTCGCAAATCATTAATTATTGTATAAAAATTATCATAAATCAACTTTGGTAGGTTATAGTTAGGTAAATATAAATAACTACCTTTAATGTATACTAAATAGTATAGAATATAAAATCTACATAGGCACATATAGGTACCATTTACTTAATATTATAATATAAATATATTTATATTATACATTTTAACGTTATTTTCATTAAGTTCAAGATCCACACAATACAAAGTACCATAATGCAAATATCATTACCATTTGGTTATTAAAATTTTAAATTAAATTTATATTCTTTATAAGTATGACATTTTAAATATCTATTAAGTGAAAAAATAGTGACATTATAGGTAAGCATTATATATTACGTTTATGCTGGATTACGAATATATTATATAAAAACAATTGTTGGAATTAATAATTGGAAATAAATAAATGCATTTTAAATGTATACTTAACATGTTCTAATGTTCTATGAATATAATTTGTTACATTTTTACTTTTTTTTCATGCACCTATTTACTAAATAACTATCCAAAATTATAAAATTATTAGAGTAAGTTAAAATTTAATTTGAATAAAAAATAATTAAAATAAAATAAGCTACTGTCATTAAAATGTCATCCAAACTGAAATAAAATATTTGGAGTTCATACTTGACTGACGCTACTACTAGCTCTTCTTGATTCGTCGGGAAACATCTGTTTTTGTGTATATTGTGTATTCTTATACGGTGACGAACTTTTTTGAGTGTCTTTAAGAGTTCCTTTTGGAGATCCATTTCCTAAAAATAAAAATAAAAACATCATAAAGAGCTATGTGATCAATTTATCAATCAATACATGAAAACTTAGTTAGATTAATTTTAATTTTATTTTTATAAATCACATTAGGTTATAAATGAAACTCTTTGAAGTTATAAGACAAAACTAACATCGTATACTTAATGTTAATATTGCATATAGGTACTCATTCATATTAATAACTAACTTATTTTTTATATTATACTTAAATCAGATTGAATTTTTTCTGGGCGCTGGAATATGTTACTTTAAGCTGAATAAGCAATACCTACTATAAATTATTTTATAATCAATAGAACGATAACGATTTTAAATAGAATATAATTTAAGATTTTGATATGAAATCTATAAAATGTTCAATTTGTACAGCTAAAGATTAAAAATCAAAAATAATGTTTATCATGCCTAACTAGTTAATATTGTTAACAAGTTATTTTTATCGACATTTTGACTTCAAATGTTGACAAGATTAGATATTTAAACGAAGATTGACGATGATAGTTATTTTGATGTAATTAATAAACATTATTCGTAGAGACTTGTAAAATATTATAATTTTTTCTATAGGTATGCAATGAGCAATGATATATCCAAAATAGTTAGATTAATTTTAAGCTTTTGTCTATTTATACCATTAACCTCTTTGAACTATTCTAAGGTAAAGTGGACGATAGTATTGACTCAAAGTTAATAAAAATAATATCACATGATAGAAATATAAACTATTATAATAAATCGCTAAACAAAATACTTTACAATCACCCTTAATCCATAGCCAACATCATCCGATTGATCACAGCCACCGATCTTCAAATCAACATTTAAAATTAATATTTAGAATAAGTACACATAATAATATGTTTTAGATTTAAATTATTTATAAACTCAATGGCCCATGTCTCCAAGGGTATTGTAATAATAAAAAAAAAACAAATGAAGTAAACTTATGACAGTTGTCAGTTGACATCAACTGACAGACCATGACCGATCATAATCATTTTCCGAATAGGTATGATTATATTTCATTAAATTCAACTTAAGGGCATTTAGTACGTCCATAAATCCACTCCAGTGACCCGCACTCAACACTTACTGTACAGCAGAGCGGTACCCGCTGGCCTAAATATTTCATAATAGAATAACTGTATTCATATACTTAAATAGTAAACATCTTTTTATTTTTAGTAGTATTTCCACTTTAATTTTATGTATTTAATTTTAGTTGCTCATTTTCACAAGTTGATCTTTTGTATACATTTATTGGTTACTAATAAATGTCTAGTAATAATTACATTTCTTCTTTTAGCCTTCTTTGAGGTGCGAACATTTTTAAACATTCCTTTGAGTGACTCAGATCTAGTTTATACTTTAAAGGGGATGAAAATTTTTCAAAATAACCAAGACTAGAAAAAAAAATTAAGAGAGACATTTTTTGGGGAAAACAGTTTTTGAAGAAGTTGATTTTGTTTTTTTTTTGTAATTCAAAAATGAATAACCGTTGAATTAAATTTTTTAGCTAAAAATGTATTTTAGAATTTTCTAGATGGAATATAAATAAAATATTTTAGCTCTTTTTGTTTTATTTATAGACATATTAAATTATCACATTTTTTTGTTTTTTCTATCTATGCATTGTATATATTTGAGTAAAAAAAGCTGAGCAATTTATTTTTCTCATAAGTTGTTTTATAGAATAGATTAGTCTAAAACAAGTAAAAAAATTAATTATTTTGTAATAAACAATTCATTAAACAATTTTTTTATCAACAATACCTAATTGTAAAAAAAAATTAAAATGTTTCATGTTTATAATATAAAAAGAGTCAATATTTTGAAAATGTAATTCTGTAGTGAACACTTTCAAGTACCTACTTGTATTTATTTTTGAGCTATACCAATAGAAATCAGTATCAATTTCTTCAAAAACTGGTTTTGTATAAAAATTCCATTTTTACTTGATTCATTTTTGCATTTTCCGATCATTAAGAAAAGCTTAGAAATGTTTTTAGTATCACCCAAATTACGAACTAGGTCTAATTTTATACCATAAGCCACCCTCAAAGTTAAAAATTGAAGAATTTTTACTGCTCCTCGATGCTTAAGGTGTGATGACGATGACTTTATGACAGGCACACAAATAAGTACTACACACATCATGTAAAATCAATACATTTATTTCTCAGAATGCATAATATGATGACCAGATAACAAACTTGTCTTTTAACTAATCTAAAATAATGGCATGCCTAAACTAAAAATATTGTTTCTACTTTCTTTTATAAATATGCATTTTATTCAACTGTTTTGAACGCAAAAAATGTACAACTATAGAATTTTAAAATCAAGGAATTTTAAAAACTCTAAAATATAAAACAAAATATTCAGACTGTATTTATTAAAATTACTTAAAAAAATAATATTGATCTTTAATTAGTTTTGCTAGGTATCCTTAGTATTCTAACATCCACTGTTTTACGCCCTACATACGAGCTAGTCACGCAATGTTCCAGTGTCCTTTTTAAGTTACTTTTAGCATTATTTATATAAAGAAAAATATTAAGTTACTTTCTGAGTGGTCAACCCACAATGTCATTTTTAAAATGTATTAATAAATTATTCAAATATTATATGAGTTATAACTTTCACTTTTTACTTAATCATAATATTATTTCTGGTCTAGAATAAATGAATAAGTATACCTTCATTAGATTTTGAGCCATTTTAATGTTATAATATTTCCATATAGAACATTATAATATTATAACATAGCTATTAGTTTATTATTTATTAGGTACACAGTTTAAAAGGCATAAAATAATAAATTTTTTAATTTAAATATAGCTAACTATTGATTAGCCATTTACACATAATATTTATTACGATTATCATTAGGGTTTTTAGTAAATTGCCTTATTTTTAAATACACAAATGTTGAAATGTATTGATAATAAAGATAATAAAAAGTGAGAAATACATATTTTATATAATAAATATAGGTACACGTTACATTTATATAATATGATTTAAATTAACTTATATATAATCACAGCAGAATGATATAATAATTATATAATTTTACAAATAAATGAAATAATTATTTTGTTATTCGAGATATTACGAAAATTAGTATGAATAATTTATTTATTACGTTAAATATTTTATTTCGACTAACCAATTTTACTAATTTGTCATATCTACCTATACTGTACAATATAAAATATGTATGTTCATACTAATAAAGTATTGAAATAGTATACAATATTAAAATCTGTAGACTGTAATTACAAATAATTATTACAAAAAGTAAAACGTTAAGTTTCTTTTCATTGTTTCATTTTGTTGTTTTTTTTTTTTTTTGACTATGGACATGGAAACAGATGATAAGAGGGACACAATGAAAAGAGAATTGCCAAGTGATCATAAAGTGTGAACTTATATATTCTATACAAAGAATGAAAGTAAAACTATAAAAATAAAACCACAATTTGGATCTAAACCTGTATAAAATATAAGAATAATGTTTTTAATGATTTGAAAAAAGTTTTTGTTCAATAAAGAGTAATTTTAAATGTAAATGTTTCAAAATTTCCTATTATTGATAATTTAAAGATATGAATTGAATTCAGGTTGTATATACCTAAGTACTTATTTAAAACAATAATTATTGTTTTAAGTTCCGAGCTTGGCGATGGATGTTTTAGTTGTAGGTACAATGATGTGTATTTTTTTCTGTCCGTCATCAACTTTAGGGACCATAAAAATGCTCTAGTTTTCTTAGGAGGTTTGTTTTTTTAAACTATAGTCAATAAATAATTGTTTACTTGATAAAATAAATGTAATACAAGATATCACCTAAATTGTCATAGTAATTAAATTAAAATAAAACAAATATTCAGCATAAATCTACAATATTTTTTTATGATTCTCTCAAATGTTGACGATCATTTGCAAATTATTTTTCAGTTAGAAATTCAAACTCATTATTCTTTCATATTTAACATTGTTACCACTAACATAAATTATGATTTACCTTTAAAAGACATTGGTCCTGTGATATAATCTTCTCCGTGTAACTAACAAAATTAAAAACCAATTATCTGCTGAAAGTAGTGTTACTGGGCTCTTCCTTCTTTGTAATATCCACCATTTATTTCTTTTTATAATATATTAATTCCTTATTGTTTATAGAATATAGATGATAATTTTTTTTCCATTTTTAATTGAAAATATATACTATTTATACATTCCTAGACGCCTAGTATCTAATTTCAAACATTTACAAATTAAAATTATTTTTAAAATAGGTATGTAATTATAAAACGAATACGCCAGGTATATTTTATAGTAATTCAGATAAAATTCAGACTTATCAACTTCCATATAATATTTAAAGTTGTATTATATACCATTATATTATAATCTACTTTATAGTAAAATCCTTGCAAACAACTTGTTGGAATTCAGTAAATGTATATAAATTACAGCATCGCAGATATTTTATTACATTAGGTATTGCAAGAAATTCTTTAATACATAAATAGAATAAACGAACTCATTTTTATTTTGAATGAAATTCATTAATAATTTTAGTCGTCGTTAGTTTTTTGTGGAAATATGTAAATGTCAACTTTAAACATATTTAATATTATACTCCATATCTAAATTGGAATTAAGTATAATATGACGTATAAACATGCAAATACGAAAAGAAAAATGTGCACCAAAAGTTAATTTAAGCGACACGATGATTTAATTAAAAATATTTTTCTTTGCGTAAAAAAGAATAAAAATATTATTCCCAACAAAAGTCATCATTAAATATATATTATGTTAAGAAAACTAACATATTCTACTGAAAAAGAAATGTAAAAAACACATTAAACCATTATTCTAGTTATTCGGATTTGTTGCCGTAAAATATATCTGACTTGGATAAATAACAATAGACATGACCGACGTCACCAAACTAAAATGATTATAA